GCAGCAAAACTTTCAATCACTATAATTAGAAAAAACAAGATATCCCATGACAAAACCAGATTTACACAATACATATCAATAAATCCAGTCCTACAGAAAGTTCTGGAAGGAAAACGCCAACCCAAGGAAGTTAACTACACTCACAAAAACATAGACAATAGATAATAATACTTTACTAGAAGCCAAAAGAAAAAGCAGAGTAAATATACACACAATACCACCACCAATAACAAATCCAAAACAAACAAGAATTAATAAGCAATGGTCCTTAATTTCCCTCAATATTAATGGTCTTAACGCACCTATTAAAAGACACAGGTTAACAGAATGGATGCAAAGACAGAATCAACCCCTTCTGCTGCATACAAGAAATACACGTCAACTTCAAAGACAGATGTTAACTCAGAGTAAAGGGTTGGGAAAGATTTTTCCAATCAAAAAGAAGCAAATGGATGGGACTAAGAGAAACCATTCTGAGTGAGGTAACCCAGTCACAAAAAACAAACAAGATATGTACTCACTCATATGGATTTTGGATATAGTGAAAAGGATCAGCTGCTTACAACCCACACCTCCAGAGAAGCTAGGAAACAAGGAGGACCCTAATATGGTCACTTGCAGAAGGGGAAAGGGACAAGACTTTCTGATCAAATTGAAAGCCAGGGGTGGGGCAGGAGATAAGTGGGAGGGACTTTGGAGAAAGAGAGGGAGAGGAGGGGAGAGGAGAACATGGGGAGCAGGAAGATTCAGTTGGGGGGAAATATGGAGGGAGAACAAGAAAGGAGATACCATTGTAAGGAGTATGGTCCATTGTAAGGAGTATGGTTTTTCCGCCCGCCACCTGGTCTGGTCCCGCTGCTGCGCCAGCCCCAATTAACACACAGCGATTCTGTATATGATATAATTCTGTTGGCCAGTTACTAGTTTCTTATCGGCTAGCTCTGTCTTAAGTATTAACTCATTTCTATGTATTTCCACATGGTCTTACCGAGAGCGGAGGAATGGCAGTTATGTTCTCTCCAGACTCTCCACCTGGACTCCTTCCTCCTTCCTCTTTCCTCCTCGTCTCCTAATCCCACCTATCTAGCTTTCCTATTGGCCAACAGTGCTTTATTCATTAACCAGTATGAGAAACATATACAGAATGACATCTCCCATCATCTCCTCTTTTCTGTCTAAAATAAAAAAGAAGGGTTTTAACCTTAACATACCAAAATATATCACATAACAGTTATCAAATAAGAATCACAGTTAACACTATTTAGTCCATTAACATTTAGCAAGATTTAAGAAAATATCCCATCATATATTTTATCTTTGTGAGTTAAAGTCCTATATGTAACTTATCTTTAAGCTTAACTAAGGAAAACTATAACCATAACTATCTGTCTTCAACTCCATCAAAGACCACAGAAGGATAGTATATAAACTCTAGAAATGACAGAGACAACTCACTGCCTGGCAAGTCACTGGAATTTCTGTAATCTTCCATCTTCAGCCCATAGGCCATAGTGTCTAACAGACTCTTCAGCAAAGTAGGAAACTTTAAACTGTCTTCTTGTATTGGCAGTTTGTCATTCATTTTTCTCTGTGTCCCACAGACTGTCTGGCATACTCTTCCATGAAGCAGGAACCCTGTAGCAATGTCCATCTTGAATCAGCAGTCACTTTTCTGTGGGTCCTGCATGTCCAGTTTATACAGCATAAAGTCAAACAGTTCAGACAAGAGCAGTATCTTGTCCAAATGGCTAGTATTGCCATATTGGAAGTAAACTCCATAACAAATTTCTTCAATGTCCATCTTCATCTCTGCCGCAAGTGGTGTTGCCAGGAGCAGTTGTGCCTCATTGTCAAGAAAACCCTAAACCATTTTAAATGCCATATTCTGTAGGTCTTTGAAAGGTTTGAAGAATTCCTATCTATCTTAAATACATCTCTGTGTATCTTGAAAACCCTAACTAAACTCTAAGCTTTAACTATCATAGGTAATTATCTATAATCTGTACTACATTATACATTACATTTATAACTGAGCTAAATAAACACAATACCTAAACAAGAGGAGAAATATACATATCACCTTATTGATCTTAAATTGTATCAATAAATGAAAATCCATTCCAAAACAAAGTATTCATATCTATACCATAATTCCCTTTTTATCTTTAAAAAGAATATTGGTTGTGATCATTAACCATTTATAACCAAGCCCATTTAAATGAAAACAAACATTTATAAACAATATTTAGGAATTTGGGCGTCGTTCTTTCCAAACTACCTCCTGCTGATAGGGGGCGCTGTCATGGGGGAATCCTAAGAAGATGAAGAAATCCTGGCTGTAGTCTACAAGGCTGCTTTGTCCAGCTGTTTTGAATATAGGATCACCTGGTACTCTGTTTCAGGGGGTCTGGTTGCTCAAACCCCATTAGTCTGGAAGGAATCCATAGCTTTTCATTTTCTGTGGAAACAAAAATAGAAATCCTTTTCCCCCAGTAACTTGTCCTTGAACTTAAATTTTGGAGTCAAAGCATTTTTAAAATATATAAATTGAATTAATCCAGCAGCATTTCCTTTAACAGTTGTTGTTTCCTCAGCAGTCAAACAATACAAAGACAATATAATACTGTACAGTATCTAGATTCTCTCCATCTGTGGCTTTTTTATTATTCTGTTTCTTTTCTATTTTTTGAGACAGGGTTTCTCTGTGTATCTCTTATCTGTCCTGGAATTTACTCTGTATACCAGGTTTACTTTGAAATCACAAGATCTGCTTGCCTCTGTCTCTTAAGTGTTGGGATTAAAGGCGTGTGCTGACACACCCAGCTATTCTCTGTCTTTTTAAAACCATTTTTATTCTCTCCCAAGCCTATATATTTTTTTTTTAAACACACTGTAAACCTTTAGAGGTTTTTCTTAATACGAATCTGTCTTTACTGTAAATCTTTATCTTTTTCTGGCCATGAGTCTTTTATCTGGTAAACAACAACATTGCTGAAATGAAAGTCATAGTTGTTTCTGCTGCGGATTACCAAAGATGGCAGCAGGTACTTTTACCGCCAGCAATGAAAGCTGTGCCCACTGCCTTGGTCTGCGCTGCCATCTAGCAAGCATGTTGTTGGCTTGGAGATGTAATCAATGACATTGCCAGCTCTCCTACACAATAAATTTTTAGCAGTGCTTTTTTAAAGCCGTGTGTGTGTGTGTTTTTTTTTTTTTTTTTTTTTCCTGCTTATGCTGAGTCAAGGAAATTTCCCTTAAAGGAGCCGTGCAAATATCTGCTTGTCTCTCTCAAATCAGAGTCAAACCAAGAAAAATGCTGCTACCAAGAAACCTTGCTTGTCTCTGTTCTTTTTTTCCAAAACCCTTTTTTAAATTTTCAGTGGAAGTTCTTATTAGCCACGTGGGCTCCATTTGTAAGGAGTATGGTTTTTCCGCCCGCCGCCTGGTCTGGTCCCACTGCTGCGCCAGCCCCAATTAACACAGAGACTCTGTATATGATATAATTCTGTTGGCCAGTTACTAGTTTCTTATTGGTTAGCTCTGTCTTAAGTGTTAACTCGTTTCTATGTATTTCTACATGGTCTTACCGAGAGCGGAGGAATGGCAGTTATGTTCTCTCCAGACTTTCCATCTTGACTCCTTCCTCCTTCCTCTTTCCTCCTCGTCTCCTAGTCCTGCCTATCTAGCTTTCCTATTGGCCAACAGTGCTTTATTCATTAACCAGTATGAGAAACATATACAGAATGACATCTCCCATCATACCATAATAAAGGGAACCATTATAGGTTTAAAGAGAAATCTGACACTAGGGAAATGTCCAGATATCTACAAGTATGACCCCAACTAACAATCTAAGCAATAGTGGAGAGGCTACCTTAATGCCCTTCCCTTATAATGACATTAATGACCATCTTATATGCCATCCTAGAGCCCTCATCCAGTAGTTGATGGAAGCAGAAGCAGACACCCATAGCTAAACACTGAGCTGAACTCCTGGGATCTAGTTGTGGAGAGGAAGAAGTGATGAGCACAGCGGTCAAGAGCAGGCTGGAGAAACCCACAGAGACAGCTGACCTGAACAAGGGGGAGCTAATGGACCCCAAGACTGATAGCTTGGAAACCAGCATTGGACTGACTCAGACCCCCTGAAAGTGGGTCTCATTTAGGAGGCCTGAGAAGTCTATGGTACCTCTGACAATGGATCCAGGATGTATTTGTAGCACAGGAACAGACTTTGGGAACACATTCCTAATGAAGGGACACTCCCTTAGCCTGGAGACATGGGGGAGGGCCTAGGCCCTACCCTAAGTGATTTGACAGACTTTGATGATCTCACCCTCCCTGGTGTGTGGATAGGGGATGGGATGGGGATATGTGAGGGGTAAGGAAGGATGGAAGGGAGAGTGAACTGGGATTAATATTTAAAATAAGGAAAAAATAGTAAGTAAAAGAAAAGAAAAAAAGAAAATTAAGAACTAAAAAGGAAATACAAAGTATTTAACACCTTATTTAATTTCTTGACATCAATACTTGGTCACATTCCACTGACATTGCATCTAAATAGAAAGTAGGGACACTGAATACACCACTTTTAATTCACTTTATTTGAAAGGTTTTGTACTGTAGTAGTAAGATAAATGTATTCGGTAAATATTTGACAAATGTAATATATCTTATAGTCTTTTCATAGCACTGGATATGAATTTCATTAAGATACAAACAACAATGATGGAGAAAGGGTAAAAGGAGGGAAGGAAGGAATGAGAGAGAGAGTATGAAAAGAATTTGATACATATAATATGTTTTACATACAATAACAGATTGATACTGTTACTCCATTTTACAAGGAAAAGGGAGAAACAAGACACCTAAACTTCTTGAAGAAAACAAAAAGCATTGTGTACTTGACAACAGATATAAAGCAGTCAAATAATGGAAAACACTAATCAGCGTAAGTATGTACTAACATGGAGGCGTGACTTTACACATCTCCATGATAACTGTTTACATATTGTCAAAGCTTCTATGCTTTTTACTGTCTTGAGTATGGCTAAAAAATCCAAGTGCTGTTTACCATTAATCACATGATTTATTTGTTCAACATTTGATATTCTGGTAGAGAACCAATTAAACTGAATTTATACACACAACGCACACCTACACAACAGATATTCTGATGTTTTCCCATGGGGGTCTGGCACTGTAATCAGTGCATATTTTCTGGAACATCTTTCTCTTGGTGTGCTGATGTCATCATCAAACCTCCTTGAAGTGATGCTGGAGATGCTGTTCCTACTGCAGGAAGACTTGAAGGCATAATTACCATAACCTGTAAAGTCAATCAAATACCATCACATCACCAAGAACTTCATTTTTCTACAATACTATGTCACTACTACAGACATATGTTCTTTTATCACTGGGTTGGATTTCATATTAAACTGTTGATATTCTTGAGCATTAAAAGAGGGTAGAGCTGGGACACATTTTCAGTGACAGAGCTTGATTGAAATGTCTGCTGCAGCATCTCTGAGCATCAGTTTTATATATAGGTGGTGGTAAAAACAGGTGGGCAACCACAGTGTTACCAAATAGAGAGGAAAGCCTCTGCCATCAATGGGGAGCTCATTAGACTTCCACCAGAGAAAACACAGAGAGCTCCTTTTACAAAGCGAACATGTAGACAACAATCACATATCTCATTCATGACTCTCTGGCCACAAAAGAAACACTGAAGAAACCACACTAACCCAGAAGAGGTGACCGTCTCATTAAACAAAAGTAAATCCTGGTTCTCCTTCTACAAGCTCCAAGTGACATGGAATTGAACAAGGATAGTAGAGAAACAACAAAACCTCACAGATACAATTGTCTTAATTCACATAGTATAGTGGAAGTAATATCCTTTGGCTCATAGCAGAAGGATCACAGACTTAAAACCTTAAGATATGAAGCTTACTAAAGATTCTGACCCATCCCTAAATGCTTCAAAGAAAAAATAATAGATAACTTTATATACATTCACACTTTCTGGACATTTTAGTGCAGACGCCACCTTTAATATTAATGGTTGTAATTTGTCATTCATTCATGAGCATGAGCCCTGAAGACATGTGAGATGGTGTTTTTCTGGAGGCTCAGAAGACTATTTTTAAAAAGCACAGAAGATGTAAACAATCACTCTGCAACCTACCCTGTCATAATTTTTTATTGGCAATGATTTGTCTTCCTGGGCATGACATGTTAGAGCCTTGGAGGAAGAAATCTAATTAGTGAGCCAAGACTGAAGTTTTATAGCCATTTCCTGATTCTGAATCCCCTGTGGCTTGTGAATACATATGATATATTTATTCTTCCTGACCTTGGCTTTGGGCTCTCCTCTGTTTCTACTTTCTAACTTTACTCTCTCTGTGTATGGTATTGTTTTTGCTTAGCAATTAGGAAGGTTGACTGCAGGTCTCAAGGTGAGGCATTAGTCAGAGGTGCACAAAGTCGTGGAGAGGTTTGACTCCTGGCATTTCTCTGGCATTCTTGGGAAGGTTGCTGTAATAGAAAGTAAAACAATATCTGGCACACTGAGCAGTTATTCCTTGAGAAAAATCCCACAATCCAGTATCAGAGTGAATAATCTGTGAGTGTGTGAGGCCTAGGAGTAAAACCTTTTCAAAACCAAAATGAGATCTCCTTTTTAGTTGGAGCTTGCAGACAAAATGGGTATAGAGCAAAGGATCACCAGCCTACAATCCACACCACCAGAGAAGCTAGGAAACAAGGAGGACACTAAGAAAGACATTCATAGTCCCACACAGAAGGGGAAGGGGACAAGATCTCCTGATCAAATTGGGAGCAGGGTGTGGGGAAGAGGGGTTTAGGAGAAAGAGAAGGGGATAAGAGGAGAAAAGAAGAGAACACGAGGGAGCAGGAAGACTGAGTCGGGGGGAGAACAGAGGAGAGCAAGAAAAGAGATACCATAATAGAGGGAGCCATTATAGGTTTAAAAAGAAATGTGGCACTAGGGAAATGTCCGGAGACTTACAAGGGTGACCCCAGCTAACAATCTAAGTGATAGTGGGGAAGCTATCTTAAATGCCCTTCTCTGATAATGACATTGATGACTACCTTATATGCCATCCTAGAGCCCTCATCCAGTAGCTGATGGAAGCAGAAGCAGACACCCAGAGCTGAACACTGAGCCAAACTCCTAGAATTCAGTTGCAGAGAGGGAGAAGTGATGAGCAAAGGTGTCAAGACCAGGCTGGAGAAACACACAGAATCTCCTGACTTGAACAAATTGGGAGCTCATGGACCCCAGACTGATAGCTGGGAGACCAGCATAGGACCAACCCAGATCTCCTGAACGTGGGTCTCAGTTAGAAGGCCTGGGAAGTCTATGGGACCTCTGACAGTGGAACCAGGACATATCCCTAGTGCACAAATATACTTCAGGGACCTATTCCCCATGGAGGGAAACTCTCTCAGCCTAGAGACATGGGGGAGGGCCTAGGCCCTATCCCAAATGATGTGGCAGACTTTTATATTCTCTCATGGAAGGCCCGTTCCTCCCTAGGGAGTGGATTGGGGAGCCAGTAGGGGACATGGGAGGATAGGAGGGATAGGGAACTGGGATATATATGTAAAATAAGAAAAAATACTAAGTAATTTTAAAAAAAGAAAAGGAAAAACATTATTCCTAGCTTACGAATGGGAACTATCACAATGAAAGGAGTGATGGCACTGTATAGTGAAAGTGTGGGTGGCTTAAAATAGAAGAAAATAAACAAAGTGGTAACCACCTTTATAAAATGTGTATCATTCCTTCCAGTGGCTCACACATCAGTTGATGTAGGACATCATTCTGCATCAACCTTTCCTAAGCATGTGAGCCCTACACAACAGCTCGGAAGAACTTGAGACAATTCTCCTGTGTCCTCAGAGAGGAAGTACATCATCATGAGTCAACAAAAGAGAGAAAATGAATTTTTCCACATGGGCCTGGAATGGATTCAGAAGTTTCAGATAAGGTCACAGCCTAGCCAACTGCACAAATGATACCCTTTAAGACCCTGGGCAGAGGACTCAGCTGAGCTGTGCCTGTACTCTTGACCCATTGAAACAGAGCCAGTAAAGTTTTGTTATTCTGAGCTTCCATTGCAAAATGAAAGAAACTACTGGGGCCATCTTCAAATGAAAACTAAGACTCACCCGACTGGGATTGCAACAGGTCACTTTGCATCCAAAGGCAGAAAGGGACACAGTGATGCAGAATTCCAGCAAGTTTAAAATGATCACCAAGACTTGCATACCCTAAAAACATATTTACAAAAAAAGGGGGGGACATGAGGACCAGCAATGACAGTTTCTAGCATTTACTGTGCATTACAATGCCAGATGAGAAAAGGCATTGGCTGCCAACTACAGCCTGCTGTTGTCCAGTTCTTGACCGATTGACATTCAGAATCAATGTCATTAGTTCTTTCTCTGATAGCATAGCCTAGTATTTCTCTCTCTTTATTATATCAGTGATAGGAAAGGAATGAAACAGTGATCTTCAAGTTACTTGGCCTTTAGTTCTGGTTCAAGAGAATCATCTTTACACCTGTCTCCTGCTCTTCTGTCAGAATACAGGGCCATATAGGAAGAACACAATACAGTTATTCAAGAGTTGATGTCTGAGAGTCTATAGTTTAAACATTTTGTTTGAGCCCCATGGTTAGAGAATTTCCCTCTGCTAGGGAAGATTCAGTATCAACAGCTTTGTGCAAAAGAGATACAGACTCAGTGAGCCCCTAGATTGCGTTCCTTCTTTACTAAAACCTCCAACACAACTAATGCTCCTCTACCAGCTACTGCTGTAGAAGTAGATGGAGGGAAGGAAATAGAAGACTTCCTTGACCCCAAGGATCTTACCTTTGAAAGTTAGAATTACTTCCTTTGAGGTTTCACAGCCTATAATATCTCTGTAAAGGACACTCAATTCTGCTTTGACAACAAGGATGCATTGCTCTATATGTAAATGAATAAGTGAGCTTCTTTTTTTAATCAAATTTCACTTAGAAAAATATTTTCTGGAACTCCCTAAAGATACAGCACTCTTCTTAGTTTTGTGTCTTCTGGGTTTTCAATTAGCTTACAATAGATTCCCAGACCTGTAATTCTGTCATGAGGATACAAAGATAGGAACTGGTCTAGTTCTTAGCTCCCAGGAGAGCCTTGTATAGCATGCATTGGTACAAGAACTGAGACAAAAAGAATGTCCACACAATCAATGGGAATTCGTGCTTCCTCTTGGAGAGAGGGTGATTTCTTGAGATGAACACAGATAATTTGGAGGACCTCTTGCTCAATATATACTCATAAATTCAAGAGAGTAATAGAAGAACATTGAGTCAAATGCCAGAGTCTTCTAAATATGGAGCCTCAATGCAATGCACAGGTTCTGGACCTGTGAATTCAGACCTGTGAACTAGATCTATGCTATGTATTTGTCTCTATTAAGCTCTATACAGGAAAATACTTCAGAAGATGAACTTGCAGCTGGTTCCCAGGATAACTACACAGAGCTACAACAGTGAATATCAAAGGGACTGGAGGAGGCTGTGAAGTCTAGTCTTCCAGAAGATGCTCATACCAACTTCTAATAGTGTGATAGTGGAGAAAACTATTTAATTATCTGAGGGAAGCTTTCTTTTCTTATGTTGACTAAGTCATGAGAAATAGTATGATTGTTGTACTAATTACTAAAAAACCTCAAGAAGAGTTTATTAGTTTAGCAAAGACTAACTCCAGATATTACATTGGTTTGGAGACAAAGCTCAAGATTTATGTAGGATGAGCTAGGGATGGAAGAAAGGCCATACCACTCATCTGGCTATTAAAACTGTATGAACGTTTTTGAGTTTCCACAGTTAGGTGAAGGAAGACGACAAGGAAGGGAAAAACCGAGCACCAGGCCAATAGTCTGGAAGGTCACCTTACATAGAAGATAAGAGGAACATTGTTATCCTGAGTAAAAGCCATAGAGTCTTTAATGATGAAGATAATTAAGTATTTTAGCCTTCCATAACTATTCCTGTTGGAGCTCTTCTCCCAGGAGACTCTCAGTGTGTTTGTGGGGGTGTTCAGGGTGCATGTGAGGGGGAGAGAGGGAAAAAGGGAAGGAGGGAGAGTTAGAGGGACGGAGGGAAAGAGGGATGGATGGAGGGAGGGAGAGGGGACTGGGATTGATACGTAAAATAAAAAAAAAAACTAACCTTTATTCTCAGATAAGATAATAATACTTTTGGAGGCATTTTGAAATGAAAGCAAAGTGTGTGGAATGTCCAATATAGTAATTACTAAGGACTTATGTTCTATAATGTAGGTTTCTTCCCATTTAGCTTCATTGCTTATGTAGTAACATTAGAGATGAGACATAAATCTGATTCTTCATATTTTGGCATATTTCCAGGGATTGATGAGTTGGTCAGAGCTCTTGTTCCTCAGATTTGTTTCCACCGTAATATGTGGAAAGAGAATACTCACCAGGCAAATGGTCATGCTCTGCAAGCATTGGTCTGGCATATAATTATATCTGCAGAAATTGTAATCAAATGACAAATCATGCAACCTGTTCACACTGAAGATGATTCCAAACAAAGCCACTATTGAGCTAGCGATGTTCAATCCCGTGTTGCTTTGGACCTAACAAGTAATAAAAATGAAACAATCAAAAATATCCCCCACAAAATAACATCATCCCCTCATTTTCCCACTGATCACTTCTACTTCATCCCTGCTATATTCAGTCCTCCCCATTTGTTTCAATTATCATTATAGTAGATATTGTATATCAGTGATAAACATCTACTAAATATGTTTTTTATTTAAATGAGTAAAGGGACCACATAGGCATTTGTACAGAGAAGATGTGTAACAGGTACACAGAGTTGATTATGAATTATTATGAATGAAATTATTATGATTGAATTATTATGAATTATTATGAATGAAAAGGAAATCATATGTCAGTTTCTACTTGCTGGATGGCTGTTTTCAAAAAGACTAAAGATAGCAATGTGGTTCTGAGTGTGTAGACAAAAAAAAACACCAAAAAACAAAAACAAACAAACAAACAAACAAAAAAAACCCCAACAACCAACCAACCAACCAACCAACCAACCAAAACAACTATTAGACTGTTGGTGAGAATGTATTGGATTACCCATTATGGAAAGCTAATGGCCCTCCAAATTGAAAGTTGACACAACTCAGCAATTCCTCACCTCTTGGCATATTTCCATATGAAATGAGAACAGTGACGTATAAACCTGTCTCCACCCACATATTCATCACAGAATTATTAAGACTCATTAATAAACAGTCTAAACTGATGGATCAAGAATAAATAATCTATGATATTCATCTCTACCTATGTACATATACACAGGCCTAACGTGAGATGTATAGATAAAATGGAGCATCTTGGTGTCTTTAAAAACATTAATGAACTTGGAGTTGAGAACATAATGAAACAAGTAAAACACTAATATGTAGAGCCTTAAAATTAAATTCATAGAAGAATAGGATGCTTGATACCTAAAATAAAGGGGGAAAGAGACATGGGAAATGTTAACCAATGGTAAAAGGTTTAAGATATTGTTCTGGTTAGCTTTTTGTCAACTTGATATAAACCAGAATTGCTCATTAAGAGGGAAGTTCGACTGATGAATTGCCTTCATCAGATTGGAATGTGGGCATATTTATGAGGCATTTTCTGTATTTTATTTTATTAACATTTTTATTTATTTTACATACTGACCACAGTTTTCACTCCCTCCTCTCCTCCTTTCCCTCCTTCTTTTTCTACCTTTACCTCCCCTTGCCAACTATTTGCCATCTACTCCTTTTCCCATCCAGTTCTCCTCTGCTTCAGTCAGAAAGAGAACGGCCTCCCATAAACTTGAACAAAGCAAGGCACACCAAGCTGAGGCAGGACCAAGCCCCTTGCTCTGCATCAAGGCTGTTCTAGATAATTCAGCTTGGGAAACAGATTCCACAAAGCCAGCTAAACACCAGGGTCAGGTCATGACTTCATTGCCAGGAGCCTTACAAGTAAGTAGACTAAGCTACACAATTGTCAGGATCCCTAACTATTAGTTCAGAGTTCATGAGCTTCCAGAGAAGCTCAGATGAGCTGATAAGACATTTTCTTAACTAATGATTGATGTGTGAGATACGCTATGCAAGTGGCCCAGGGTTGTGTAAGAAAGTAGACTGATTATGCCATGGAGAACAAGCCAGTAGGCAGCATTCTTCCATGGTCTGTGCCTCCAGGTTCCTGCCTTGAGTCTCTGTATTAACTGCCTTCAGTGGTGCGGTGAGCTGATGGGAGATGTCATTCTGTAAACCTGTTTCTCATATTGGTTAATGAATAAAGCACTGTTGGCCAAAAAGAAAGCAAGATAGGCGGGATTAGGAGACAAGGAGAATTCCGGAAGGAGTAGGGAGAAGTCAGCATGTAGAGACTTGAGAAAGCACAATGCGGCCCCTCTCTCCAGTAAGATGAGACCATGTGGAAACACTTAGATTAATAGAAATGGGTTAATATTTAGGACAGAGCTAGCTGATAAGAAACACTCTAAACTGGCCTACAGCTTTATATCAAATACAGAGGAGTCTGTGTATTATTTGGGGCTGGCATGGCACTGGGCCCAGGCATACAGAAAAACTACTCATAACAGTGAGCTTTTTGGTCATGCTGTTTATCAGAGCAACAGAAAGCAAGCTAGGGCAGGCTACACAGGATAATTAAGTTTTAGAGATATGCAGTGTGATGACAATGACTAATAATATGGGTACATTAAGTTTGCTAAGAGACTCATTCTTTAGTGTTAACATCATATTTGAAAAGGGTAACTAGGTAAAGACAATAGCCTGTTAGTTGCCTGAGAATGGTATTGAGTTCACTACATGTAATTAGACATGCATATGGAATGATTGTAAGGATAAACTTAAATATCAACATATTTTGCTTAAAACTGCTTTAAAATAGAGCTATAGCTATTTTCTACCCCAGAAGCATACATGTTGGATGAGGTCATTCTGCTTGAATAGAAAAAAGAATGAGGTGTTATTACTCACCAGTCCTTTTGTTGTTTTTATTCCTGCTACAATCGAGAAAGTTCCTGAAATAATATACTGAAACCAGAGGAACATATACATAACCATTAAAGTTTATTTGAAAATTGATTCAGAAGTTAGATAGGTACATTAAGTAGAATTATAGTTTTAAATAACAGTAATTTAAATGGAGGGACTCTACCAGAAGACTCTGGAAAAATTTATCAGCTTTTCAAAAGTCATTGAATTATAATGATAGAAAAGCTGTTTGAGAGCAACAAATGATAAGTTTTCTTAGTTCTAGTTGTGAAGTAACCCTAGCAGGGCACCAAAATTCAAGAAGGTATTATAAGCAAAAGAACTAATTGAGAAACTATTCTTGTGAGAAATATATTTAAGTTGCAATTAAAGTAATAGCACTAGTATCCTAGTTATTAGATAATAAATACAGACATGTTTGTCCAGATGGCAGCATCTCCCAGTCTCCTCCACATTCTCTAGATCTTATATTCTCTTTACCCCTCCTTCATCAATGCTTCCTCAGTCTTGAGTGTGAGGTTGATACAGATATTTAATTTTAACTATGACAAAACTGAGCCAAAAATTAGATGGCAAAATACAGGGTAAAATAAAGGCAGGGTTCTAAGCTGAAGACAGTAATAATGATGTCATTTCTGTTTACTTCAGAAAGTATTCACTCACCAACACAGGCCCCCAACATGGGTATGTACTTCCAAATGCAATGTTTTCTGATTTATTAAATGAATCTGAGATAATTATTGTTATTATTCCTAGGCTAAGGATCATTAAGGCAGCCAGAATCTGCATGACCTAGAATGAAAAAGTGAAAGTTAATTTTATCCACCACAATGGTGCCTGTGCCACCCTGTCTTCCAGCATTATGCTTCTCTCATTGTCTATTGTTTGATACAGCTATGTTCTTGGCCTCATCAACAGTGCCAGACAATGGTTTTTACTAGCATGTAACAAGCCTTACTTGAAAAAGAAAGTGCTTGGTTAGTTCCATGAAGTCAGTCAATTGTACCATTTTGCCAGGTTAGTCACTAAATCGGCATAATGTTAAAATGATCTCTATTTTAACATAGTGCCATTCTCATAGTTCAGTGTATCTGTACAATTTTTACACCATTTTCTAATAAGTTACTAAATAGACATTTAAATGATTAAAATGATCTCTGATGATTTAGTGCTGTATTCATAGATGAATGCCTCTTTCTCAACTCTCATAGTCTCACTTGAGGAGCTTCCAACAGTAGATGACAGTTAACATATAGACCCACAACTAATTAATGTGCAGAGAACAATGACAACATAAACGACTTTGGAATATTCAGCTCTAAATAAATACCACACCCTACCCATAATACTCAGAGATTTTTTTTTTTTTAATGAAGAGGGAGCTGGAAAGATTGTAAGAGTCAGAGATGACTTCAAACAAGTAGCATTTTCTGGGCACAACTAAGTTTTCTTTAATGGTGTGACACCTGGCATATTGACCATACTATACCCCAGGTCCCATAACCAAGAGTAATTAATTGAGCAACACAAACTGGACTCAATTAGGACAAAGGGGGAAAGGAAGGTAATACCTTGGAAAAGTTTCTGGATAAATATAATCAAAATGCATTGTATGAAATTCTCAAATAATAAAAACATCATGTAAAAAACATACAAAAGCAAAAATAAACTAAAATAAAATAGATTTTGCAAAATTGAAGGGCTTAGTAAAACAAATGCTCAGAGGGAAATGTACAACATTGAACATAGAAGGGCTTGAATCACCGATGTAGGATTACACTCAGGAAGCTAGAGAAGGAAAATCAGATTGAATCAAAGGTAAGCACATAAAAAATTAACATTAGACCAGAAATCAATGAAATGACAATAGAAAATTTATAGACAAAATCAATTACATACAAAAAGGTGTCTTAAAAGACAAAAGATAATGATAAACCTCTGATGGGAAATGTCATTCTGTATATGTTTCTCATACTGGTTAATAATAATGCACCGTTGGCCAATAGGAAAGGAAGATAGGAGAGACAAGGAGGAAATAGGAAGTAGTAAGGAGGAGCCAAGATGGAGGGTCTGGAGAGAGCAGTATGCAGCAGCCGGCTCCTGGTAAGAAGACCACGTGGAAATACATAGATTAACACAAATGGGTTAATACTTAAGACCGAGCTAGCCGATAAAAAAGTAGTAACTGGCCAACAGTATAATATCTAATACAGAGTCTCTGTGTGTTATTTGGGGCTGGCGCGGCGGCAGGACAAGACTCGGCGGCGGGCGGAAAACCCGTACTCTTACAAACCTCTAATGAGGTAGAAAAACATAGAACAGAACAGAATACCCACAAAGTTCTTTCATCATAAATGACAGGGGGAACATCACTGTAGATGCCATGAGGGAAAACTGATTCATAATGAAATGCTATGAGTAATTCTTATCTACCATTTTTATGATCTACATGCAAAACGTCATTCCCTAAGAAGACTTCATGATATTCTAAATGGCAACTTGCCATGTAATTCTAACACTATGAAGTTTTGAAAAGGACAAACTGTTAGAAAATGTTAAAACAATCAGGGTTTGTAAAGGAATCTGTGGGGTGAATACATAGGGCATGGAGAATTTTAGGGTCAAAAATGCTTTGTATAACATAGCAACACGGGGCAATTATCCCTGTATATTGGCCAAGACCCACAGAATGTACATATAAGGAGTGGATCCTAATACAAGTTAATAGCATTGGGTAATAATGACACATTGGTGTAAGTCTATCATTTGCAACAAAACATGCCACTTTTATAAAGTAGGACCAATGAGGGGGGATGCTATGCATGTGTGAGAAAAATGGGTATATAGAATGCATTGGTACCATTAAGTTCCCTTATAAACTGAAAATTTCCCTAATTATGAATACATATCAATATGTTTAAAATTAACCTTTAGAAATGCCAACATATATTTCTTGAAACACAACCTTTGGCACAGAACAAAAAGTAGAATAGCAGAAAATAAAAGAATTACATGTGTTCACAATGACTTTCTCCTAGTGGTTTAATGTTTTCACTTGGCCTTTAGTACACACACATCTGAGACTCCAGATGGAAATGCTTGGAGAATGGAAGACTTTTCATGGTCTGTGTGGCAGGCTCAGGAAAGACACTGGAGATACAGACAATATGGGCTGACTGGTACAGGGCAGACCTGTGGAGGAGACCACAGCTAGGGCACACATAGTTTCTTGCTGCTGTGTTACAGCCTGTTAAATGTGATTTTCTAGGTGACCCACAATGTTAATGACATCTGCAATCTCTAAATTTTAAACATAACTGGATTAGAAGAGTAATACAATCAATTATGTATTTTTCTGATGACACAGTCTGAAAATCAAACACAGACCTATTTATATCCTTAAAGGTAGGTATTAGTGTATTGGGTTGTACGTTTATAATACCACTGTCTCTTAGATCCATTACCTACTTACACCCATGGATTTTGGTTCCCCCTTTAAGAACTTCTCTGACAATCCTTTCCATATATGTGAGTACATTCCAGCAGCTTTTCCTGACTGCAGCACATCAAAGCCAACACCCAGTGTGGTCTGTTCCATTGCTTGTATGGTTGTCATGGCAGCAGTCAGTGCTATAAGAAAGGTAATTTGAGATGAAGTCCTACAAATAAAAAAAGAGGGACATGATATTCTGAACATGATTATGCTGTATGTACAAATTCTGAACATCCTCAATTTTTTTTTTTTTTTTATTTAATTTTATATAACAAAGTCCAATTAAATGAAAACAAACATTTATACACAATATTTGGGAATTTGGGCGTCGTTCTTTCCAAACTACTTCCTGCTGGTAAGGGGCGCTGTCTTGGGGGATTCGAAGAAGATTCAGATATCCTAGCTGTAGTCTGTAGGGCTGTTTTGTCCAGCTGTTTTGAATGTACATCCTCAATTTTTAATGGCTGTTTGAGCCCAAGAAGTAGAAGAGGAAACACATTGAAGAAGAGAATTGGAGAGACATAGAAATAGATGATCGATGGGTATAGTGTTAGTTAGTAGATGATGACGGATATATGATTGATTGTTATATGACAGATAAGCAATAGGTAGAAGATAGATGGACTTGTGGCACAGCCATGTCTGATGGGAATGAGAGAAGTCATAAGTCCAGCACAGCTGCTTGACTAAGACCCAGCGAAACTGAGCTGTATGATGGTCCACCCCACCACCTTTGATTTCATCTCCCCCTATTGCGTATTTGGGTAACTTTTAATATTTGTACAATTCGGGGATATTGGATTGTTGGAAATTTCCTTATGAATCATTTATGTCTTCTCCCAGGGTACTGCTTCTAAGGTTCCTCAGAAAAGTCCCAAACACACTACCCCTCCTGCTTTTAGGGAGATATTCTTGTCTGCTTGGAAGGTCTTCCTTATGCCTTGGAGGTTATTACACACAAAAGAAGGCAAAGGTCTTTTTTATGAGACTACGAGGCTTTTTTTTTTTTTTTTTTTTTTTATGATTCTGTGAAGCCTTCAAACTTATTTTCATAATGGCTATACTACCATTTATTTATTTATTCTTATTTTACATATGGATCCCAGTTCCCTCTCCGTGTGTCCCTCCCTCCTTACCTTCTAACCTTCTAACCTCCCCATGCCCCCACCCCTCCCACCCCTCCCACCCTCCCATCCATCCTGTTAACACTTCACATGTAGGGTGATGCCTTCCTGGAGGGGTCATCTAAATCTGTCAAGTCATTTGGAGTAGGGACTAGGCCCTCCCTCCTTCGGCTATGAGGCATTCTTGAAACATCTGTCTCTGTACTTACTCAGGAACAAGATACTCACTTAAAAAGGTCAACAAAATTTGGTGGGCTAGAGGAGTTGGACACAAATAAGATTGTAAGCCTCTTCCCACTATACATCACTATATGCCTAATTACGTGCCATATACAGCAACAAAGTTAGATTAGCTGAAGTTACCCCTGTCTTGCATAGAGACTCATATGGATGGGCAAAGAATGATGTAGAAAGATGATCAATGAATGAGATGTCAGGACCTCCCATTTCTTAGAAAAGTTTACACATGCAAAGCCACTGTGATGTCATATGACCAAGGAACAAAAGAATGCCAGGATTAGACATATTAAAAAAATTCCATAAAGATATAAATTGTGAACATTGTGTTATGCCAGAATTTGAATAATAACTGTAGAAGCTTTGATCTGAGGATATTTCTTGAGCACTCTGACTATTAAGAGTTAATAATACACTGCTTGGGACATGGCAATATGTCCGGACTAGCTTGGAGATTTTGTTTTGATCTAGTGTCCTTGTAACCACAAAAGCTACCTGCCTGAGAATGAGCTGTTGTATGCTTCTAGATTCTTAAAGATTTGGTTAGGGGGTTAATAAGTAAGACTGATTATAATAGTTAACTCTTTATCAATGATGTCAAAACTTGAGGGAAAATGATTGGAAATGATAATTGTTCTGTCACAGCTTATTAATGATGTCTAAAAGATGAGTAAAGGAAGTGAAATACATATACAAAAAAATGACATGATCTATGCTTTGAAACAACATAAATGCATCCCTGTTTACTAAATTCTGTATAAGTAAAGAAGCTCTCTGGCTGCTAGTCATCAGGCTCCAAGGTTCTCCAAATCATCATGGCCTGGCTCCCTCCATCCCTTTCCTGCTCCTTACATGTCCTGCTGGGACATGAGTCTCTATCTGGGATGGACTTCTCTGTCTGTCTCTCCTAAAAGAAACTAAAAAGTGTCTGATTACTCCTCTCACAGGTCTTGCATCCACCTAACTTCAGACCCTGCCCTCATCCGGATCTGAACTCTGGCAGAGTTTTTGTGCATGAATGTGATAGGTAGATAGAATAGATATATGATAGATAAGTAAATTTAAGTTCCACATACCTACCTTCTTGTCACCTGCAGTATCCGTTGTACGTCTGATGACGATGAGGCTTTGGAAAAGCGCCTCAGGTTTCTGGTCCAAATACAGAGACCTTTCCACACTACACACCTAACTCAACTTAGATTTGCATGTTCCTTTTAGCATGTTTTGTAAATCCTAAAGATTGTACAGAGAATTTCTGAGGAGCACAATTAACTAGGTCCTAAGTTCCTGTCGGAAGCATTAACAGATTTTTATGTTCCTTGTATGGGTGTGTGTGTCTATTCTTAAATTTGCTGAAAAAGCAGTAGCTCCCCTTTCAGCCTTTCATATGAAACAGCAGTATTTGGCACTGTGGACATCAGTGCGAGGATTACTATGTGCTAAACTTTGTTCAGTGGTCTTAATATAAACAGATTTAATTAATGACACTAATTTAATTTCACACATTTTTATGCTGTCTTGTCTTCCTAATAAAGTTTTTATACAGAATATGCTTCTAACATGAAATTCTGCTTCTTGAGATTAAACATGAATGTCCATAACATAGCAAGAAATTGGTTCTCCAGCAATAATTACACATTTCAGAAATCAAAGAAGTGTTAGTTGTCAGAGAAAAAAGTGTGTGTGTGTGTGTGTGTGTGTTTACTAAGACAAACAGACAAACTCTGCTGTGATGCTTTATGAATGTTTTATTTCCCTGAATCAAGATTTCCTACCAGAAAATTGGGAAAATATTTACCTGATACTTATGAGTATATTAGTTCATTTTACACTGGAATAACAAAACATTGCTAGATGCATAATTTGTAAATATACAATGTGTATTAAGCTCAAAATTTCAGAAGTTCAGATGCATGGTTCAGCATCCACTGTCTCTGCTAAGAGCCTTCTAGCTGGATTGTGGCAGATGGCATAATGGTTGGAGGGAGTAGGTGTAAGAGGTTAACATGGAAAGATGGAAAAAAAGGAAAGATCTAGATTTCATTTTATAACTCATGGGAACTTTCAGGATCCTATGAGAATTTCATTAATCTCTTCTAGGTCAACACTGCCAGTGATATAACCATTCACCCCTATGCCCTGCTTCTTAGAGTTCCCATACCTCAAAAGTGCCATATGGGAGACAAAGATTCCAATATATAAAACTCTGTTAGTCATCTTTTTACTGCTGTGGCAAGACATAAGATGAACACATGAAAAGATGGTTTATTTTGGCTTATAGGGTCTGTAGTTTCAATCCATAATCATCTTTTATATCACTTTTATATCACAAAAACATGAGCCTTTGTCAGAGGAGGCTGCTCATCTCATGGCAGATAAAAAGGAAAAGCAGATGAGGTGTAGACAATACATCTTTCCATGAATTCAATGACCTACTTAAACCAAACAAGACCCTAGCCTAATATCTCATTTAGTCATGAGTTTGTCAGTGGCTGAACCTACTGATGATGTTACCATTCTTATGATGCAATACCCTCCCAAGGCTCTGCTACTGTTGTGTGGAACAAGGATTCAATGCATGAGTATTTGGGAACACTTCCTGTGCCAACCACTACAGGAAACAAACACCATCCAAATCATCGCAAAGAATAAGGCAAAGCAGTGTTCAATATACATTACTAAATACATTTTTATAGAAAAATGACCAAATGAGATGATATGTACCCACAGGAAAATAAATGTGAAAAATGCTGCCTCCAGTGAGTTCATAAGAAACTTGGAAATACGGAAACATCACCACATCGGTAGAACCCAGGATAATTAGTTTTCTGCACAAGAATCTAGAGTTGACATAAGAATCAGTGGCCAACACCTTGGGAATTCAGAGGAGGGTTCCTGGCATTGGAGACATTTAACTACAAGCTTTAATAATTCCTGTGGTAGGAAGCCTCCAACTGAGAGATTGAGTGTGCTATTCTATCAACTCCTGACAAAAAGAATCAATACAATGAAGGAAAGTCAAAAGTTGAAGGAGAGCAAAGTACCTTGGATAAATTGAGAGATCAGAGAATCATAATGGAACAGTAGTAGACAGAGATGGCTCAGTGGTTAAGAGAATTTGCTGTTCTTGCAGAACTCAAGTTCAGTTCCCACACTTTGTAGGCAATAATAATCATCAATTCTGGCAATTTCTTCAACAGGTCCCTTTTACCAAGTCATGTTTTTGGGGGTATTGAATTCTATCTTGTGACACTGAAGCAGGAAAAAATAAATTCCAGAAGACGATAAGCAAACACAGCAACTTTTAATCTCTAAATTCAGCAGCAAGATATAATTTTGGGAGGTCATTTCCTATGAATATACACATGGTATCATGAGTGATTTCAAACTCCCTACAGCATATTCATGAAATCAAATACTACTCTGCACCAAACATTTAGTATCCAGTGCTCTACAGAGTTGCTCTTTCATAGCAATTTGTTAAAAGGAAAGCTTGGAGATGGGAGTGGTGTGGTGGTGCACATCTTCAATCGCAGCAATCCAGAAGCAGAGGCTAGCAAATCTCTGAGTTTGAGGCCTGTCTGGTATATAGAGCAAGTTTCAGGACAGCTAATTTTATGCAGTGAAAGACATAAGGCTGGTTGATTAAGATGTAATTTAATGAGGGGATAATGTTCCATCCAGCCCCAGTAAGCATCAGAATATGGCAGGTTTGGCCACATGGTTATGGCTTTAGAGTTAAGGATAAAAGAAAGGAGATATGGAATAAAGCAACTGAGGCCATGCCTTTGTTAGGGGATCCCTGAATGGAGGCCTAGTAAAGAGGCCATTGTGTAAAGCTGTGAAATAGAAGCCTGGATTGCATTGGAGAACCCAAAATGTTAGAGATACCAGAGTGGGGAATACCTGCCAATGAGAATTGCTAACAAGAAATGGAACCAGCCCAAGACAAAGAATTGTGTTGTAGTCAAATGTGGATGACATTGGAGACCTGAAGAGTATTTTGACATCAGACATGGGGATGCAAAGTTTGGAATTTTCCCAGCTAGCTGGTTTTTGGTCTGGCTTTGGTCCAGTATATCCTCGCTATGTTCCTTTTTTATTCATGGATCTTAACAATTACTATTTATAGTATCCACACTGCTTGCAGATCAGTGGTAGTACAATTGCAAGATGAATCATTTCAGATAATGAAAAAGTTATATTATAAGTATACAGAATCATTCTTAAACCTTCTCTTAAACCCAAAATATGAAAAGCAGCAGTGAAATGGAAAAATTGTATGTAAATTCATACAAATGGCTGGTAGGTGAGGCTAGAATATCAGATGACGGTCCAGTGACCTTGCCCATCTCATAGTCCCTCTTGGTGGACTCTCACAAGTAGGCCCAACTGATTTCATTAATGTGACTTTCATTTGGATCAGAGGGCAGTGCCTAACAAGAGCATTTTAAGAAAAAAAAATGGAAATTAGAGTGTTGTTTTAACTTTATCACAGAGGCTTCACCTTTATCTACTGCTATTTCAGCCAGTAATTTACCACAATCACCAGGCTGCTTCTCTAGCATCAGCCTGACAACTCCAACTGACCACAGCTTGGTGGGAATTCAGCTCCTGCATGTACCAGCCATGTTGCTGCTGCAAAAGGTAGCTTTTACTAAATCTCTATTGTTCTATTTACTCATACATACATATATAATCTAAAAATAGAATGACTCTCTGAAGGAATGAAAATTAGGTTTCCCGTGAAATAACAGGAACGTGATTAAAGGTACCAAGCTCTTGTACAAGAATCATAAGCTTGATAAATGTGAGCTCAGGGGCTAAAATATCATGGTCGGTTAAAATTAACCATAAGTGGAGGAAGGCATAGAGTGCCTGAAAGAAAAGATTTGTATAAATTTTACTTAAAATCTATTCTTCTGGGTTCCGGTAATGCCTCAAAGAGCCACAGTGATGACCTGTGATGCCTGAGGTTCCAGGTTTGATCCTCAGCATCACAAAGATATTCTCCCAAGAGTGTGACATCAGACAGAGCAACTTCAGGGACCGCCAAGTGGTCATCAATAGAAAAATAAAAGTAAAGTAACACAGTGTGCAGTGCTTTCAAAACAAGCAAGAAAATCCCTGTTCTCCGATTTAGTGAGATATCCATCCTTCCTACACTTGTTGAAATGACAAGGCCCATTGGGGTGTGGGGACATGTGCGGGTGTGACCTGGGCAGACTTGGTCTGAGGTCCCAGAGCCCAGTTTGCTCTCTTACTTGCTGGTCAGAGACAGAAAGCAACCGGAGGCATCCTTGGGACAGGAACATGTGGTGGTCATATGTTCCTTTTTTTCCCCAAAAATATTTATTTTTTTATTTTACATATCAATTCCAGTTCCCTCTCCCTCCCTCTATCTTTCTGTCTTCCCCCCCCCCACATGCACCCCAACCACCCTCCCCTCCAATTGCACAAAGGGACCTCACACAGTGGAACCAGGATATATCCCTGGTGCACAAAAGGACTTTGGACAAACATCCCCCATGGAGGGATACTCCATTAACCTAGAGACAGGAGAGAAGTCCTAGTCCCTACTTCAAATGACTTGACAGATTTAGATGATCCCCTCCTGGCATCACTCTACAGGTAGAGTGGGGGGTGGGAGGGGAAGGTGGTTGGGGGTCATGAGAGGATAGAAGAGAGGGAAAGAGGGAGGGAGAGGGAACTGAGATCGATATGTAAAATAAAAATAAAAAATAAAAAAAGGAAAAAATCTTAAGAAAAATAAAAAAGAAAAGAAAAGGAAAGCCCCCGGTGTTCATAAGTTAATTAGTGTCCTGCCACTTTGCTGAAAATGAGCAAATATCTATGGAAGCTTTTGTTGTGTTTTCATATTCATTTGGTTCCAAGGATTTTTAGTTTTCTTTCTTATTTCCTTCTTGGGCCCATTCATCCTGTAATGCTTTATTCAAATATCTGTGACTTCATGCAGTTATTAGAGGCCCATTTGCTGACCATTTTCAGTTTTATTACTTTGTGGTCAGGTAGAATATATGGATTTATTTTAACTTTTCCGTTCATTCAGGTTTCTTTTGTGTTTGTGGTCCGTTTTACAGAAGCTTTGATGAATTGCTGAGCAGAATATATATTCTTTGGTATTTTGG